ATCAGGTGATCCGTCTGCTCGTTTACCGGCTTATGCCATAAAAAAATATTTTTACGGAATATGAGGACATATGAATAGACAGAACACCTGATAGTAGGTGATCAGTGACGCCATATTGACTGGACCCACAATACTAGACGAGTTAGAGGTTCGTTGGGGTATGTGTGAGGTGTGATTAAAGTAATACAATTTTTTCCAATTGGTTTTATATACGTCCTAATGCACGGTCGCTGTGATGTCGCTTACAGCCATCGCCGCGACAGCACACGCTGCTCATGAGGAAGAGCTCCACTGTGGCTCAAAATTAATAGAGCTTTTCTCAGTATGTTCAAGTGAATAACTCGCGAGTTTTATTTAATTTAGTATGCCTTACGACAGTTATTATAATAACAATTTATTTCATAGTATAGAAAAAACATCAATACAAAATAAGCTTTTGTTCATTGAAAAGTATCAATAACAAAATCGAATTAGCAATTTTATTTGAACTCTGTTAAACATTAATATATATGTATAAATTTTTCCAATTGGTTTTATATACGTCCTAATGCACGGTCGCTGTGATGTCGCTTACAGCCATCGCCGCGACAGCACACGCTGCTCATGAGGAAGAGCTCCACTGTGGCTCAAAATTAATAGAGCTTTTCTCAGTATGTTCAAGTGAATAACTCGCGAGTTTTATTTAATTTAGTATGCCTTACGACAGTTATTATAATAACAATTTATTTCATAGTATAGAAAAAACATCAATACAAAATAAGCTTTTGTTCATTGAAAAGTATCAATAACAAAATCGAATTAGCAATTTTATTTGAACTCTGTTAAACATTAATAATATGTATAAATTTTTCCAATTGGTTTTATATACGTCCTAATGCACGGTCGCTGTGATGTCGCTTACAGCCATCGCCGCGACAGCACACGCTGCTCATGAGGAAGAGCTCCACTGTGGCTCAAAATTAATAGAGCTTTTCTCAGTATGTTCAAGTGAATAACTCGCGAGTTTTATTTAATTTAGTATGCCTTACGACAGTTATTATAATAACAATTTATTTCATAGTATAGAAAAAACATCAATACAAAATAAGCTTTTGTTCATTGAAAAGTATCAATAACAAAATCGAATTAGCAATTTTATTTGAACTCTGTTAAACATTAATATCTATATATATAAAATTCAAAGGTGATTGACTGACTGACTGACTGACATAGTGATCTATCAACGCACAGCCCAAACCGCTGGACAGATTGGGCTAAAATTTGGCATACAGATAGATGTTATGACGTAGGCATCCGCTAAGAAAGGATTTTGATAATTTCCACCCCCAAGGGGGTAAAAAAGGGGATGAAAGTTTGTATGAGACTTTGTCAGTTTTAAACCGATCGGGTTGTAATTTGGCATGCAGATAGATGTTATGACGTAAGCATCCGCTGTGAAAGGATTTTGATAATTTCCACCCCCAAGGGGGTAAAATAGGGGATGAAAGTTTGTATGAGACTTTGTCAGTTTTAAACCGATCGGGTTGAAATTTGGCATGCAGATAGATGTTATGACGTAAGCATCCGTTTTGAAAGGATTTTGATAATTTCCACCCCCAAGGGGGTAAAAAAGGGGATGAAAGTTTGTATGAAACTTTGTCAGTTTTAAACCGATCGGGTTGAAATTTGGCATGCAGATAGATGTTATGACATAGGCATCCGCTGTGAAAGTATTTTGATAATTTCCACCCCCGAGGGGGTAAAATAGGGGATGAAAGTTTGTGTAAGGCTTTGTCAGTTTTAAATCGATCGGATTGTTTTATTTATTTATTTATTTATTGCAAAATGTATATACATAGTGGTATTATACTACTAGTACAGTACATCACCCTGTTAGGGCGCAGCAATTTAACTTATAAATAATAACTAAATAATCATCTAATATATTATGTACTTATTCTATTCATTATTAACTTAATTACTCACTATAAACTTATTACTAATAAAATTTCTTATCACTTATATACCTATATGATACAATTATATTATTTTATACATTATTTATAAGACATTTTAATTATAAACATTACAAATAATTTAAAGTAGCAACATTATTGAAATTGAGGAGAATTGAAATTATCACATTAAGTTAGGAACTATAATTACATATTAAAAATAAAATTAACTTAACTGGGGATATATAATCTAACGAATACACATCTCTGTTACCACATTCACCTGAGTTATATGAAAGCTCTATAAAATACATAGGTTATAAAATACATAGGCTCTATAATTTAGAATGAAAAACATATTAAAATCATTGTGAATAAACATCATCTGGTAAATTATAAAATTACAATGTAGGTACTATTTTATTGTAAATGCATTTTTTATCTTCGAGATACTCCTGAATACTATAGTATGATTTTTTAATTAGTAGAGACTTTAATCTAGCTTGGAATATACAAAGAGTTTTGGTTGACCGTATTTCCTCAGGTAACTTATTATAAATTTGGATACTTCGGTATTCTGGGCTATTTTTATACATCTGTAGTCGAGGTGCTGGTAGGATCAATTTGGTATTTCGGCGTTCGTTTTTATTGAAATTAAATATTTTGATATTTTTCTTAACAAAACTGGCTAGTTCTAGTATGTAGATGGACGGCAAAGTTAGTATTTTCCCTCGTATAAAATATGGTTTGCAACTATCTCTAGGTTTAATATTATAAATTATTCGGAGACATTTCTTTTGAGCAATGAATAGATCTTTGGCATCTACACTGTGTCCCCACATAATAATCCCGTAGCGTAACCACGCATATGCATATGCATAGTACGCAGATAGAGCACACTGTGTGTTGGTGTTAGTTTTTAACACATTCAACCCATATGAAAATTGACATAGTTTTATTTTAGTAATGTCTACATGTCTTTTCCAATTTAAGTGGCAGTCTAGTGTTATACCCAATAGTTTAAATTCTTCAACTTCTTCTATTTTAAGAGTATTAGATATATTCTTAAGGTTAATTTTTTGTTTTTGGTATGGTTTGAATTGTATGATTTTTGTTTTCTTATTATTAACTTCAAGGTTGTGATTCAAGAGCCAGGATTTTATGAGGTTATATGTGTCAATAATTTGAGTGTTGTATTCTAGATTATTTGAAGGACTTTTGAAGAGAATGGAGATGTCATCAGCAAACAGTACACATAGATGGTCGCATATTTTCGGCAGGTCATTGATATAGATGAGGAAGAGTATACAGCCTATCACGCTGCCTTGTGGTATAGACCAGTTTGTAGTTAAGGTATCCGACTGTACATTTAAAAGTTCACTTGTGTCATAGTTTAGGTAGTCTATTTGTACGCATTGTTGTCTATCTGCGAGGTAGGACCTAAGCCATTCCAGTATATCTCCTCTGATACCAACTCCATCTAACTTTTTCAATAGGATTGAAATTTGACATGCAGATAGATGTTATCACATAGGCATTCGCTGTGAAAGGATTTTGATAAGTTCCACCCCTAAGGGGATAAAATAGGGAATGAGAGTTTGTATAAATCTTCTTAGCCATTGAATTAAGAATCATTGAATCTTTTTGAATTACATTCGGTAAAACGATGATTTGGGACCTGGGTAACGTTTGATAGTTTTTATCACAGATGTCCCACGGGAACGGGAACTATGCGTTAATGCCCCAGGACTCTCTAACTCTTAACCACTGAACTTATTTTAGAGAGATTCGGTACAACAATAGTCGATAGAATAGTTTTTATTACTCAAACCTTACGTGATCGGGTACTATACTGGTAAGATCCCTGCGGGATTATTTATTTATTGAAACTACGATAAATCATTTCAAAATAGGTAAATCTTACTTGGGCACTGAATTGATTCTGATTAATTCTGTCAGTAGTCATTAATCTACGCGGACGAAGTCGCGGGCAACAGCTAGTATATGTATAAACATGTTTCATTAAACTAAAGTTGTTAATTTAATACAATTGAACCTTATTAAATAACATAAAGTATTAGTTTCGAAGGGTTCCGTGTAACTAAGGGTCGATAACATCAAATATTTATTGAAACTGCCGGCTCTGGTTAATTTTCGCAAAGCCAAAGATTGTTTGGTTAACAGTTTAATTGTTTACGCCGACAATTGGTTCGATCCTTTGTATTTAACACAGAACCAACCCTTTTTGAGGCACTAGTACGAGTTTTTGTTTACGATAGCGCGACCGAATCGTTACCGCGTTGAACCCCTATGATGGGTTGGTTCTCTTGGAGCACGCCAATCATGGTTCTTACTCTTGAAACCAATCTCAATGTCAATGCAATTTCAATCCAATAAAATCTTAACAATTATTCAATGTCAAAACTATACAACCACTATCATAGCTGTTAAAATAGCATTCAGAGTACAGAATATAAAGACATACTCAGTACCATTTAGTTCATACAATATCCACGCAATACGAATGCAATGGGCGCTAATGTTGAACTAAAGAGTACGAAATTTCGCAATACCAATGTCGATCAAGAGTAAGCCACCAGAATGTTGAACGTCATAAGCGTGTCGATCGTGTTAACGTGAAACAAACTCGTGGTAGGCCGTCTGGATGGACTTTGGAAATATAAACAAATAACTATTTATACTGAAAATGAAAACGTTTGGTAACTATTACGTAAAAATAGAAAAAATATTTTATTTGCCCATTGAACTCACATCAAACAAGCGGCTATTTTATTACAATTTCGTGGTATTTAAGTGTGCATGCGTAGGAAAATAGCAACGCGTTTGATTTTTAGATTATGTGAAATGAAAATTTTATTTTTATTCCTATTATAAACGTTTTGTATCAAACTGCACGGTTAGCGTGGTGGCTGGACAACTGGCTACCGTGCAACGTGTCCTAGTGTGGGGCAAGGTTTAAAAAAACCTACCTACTTCACACTTGGAAAAAACAAGTACCTACCTACTTCTCTCAACAATTCCTACATGTTTCTTATTTAGGTATTTTTAAGGAGATCCTGATACTTGGAGGTGGTGATTGTCATGAAGTTTATGATGATTATCGTACTTGCCCGTAAATTTTCGAGCTCGTTCGAAAAGTGTCGAGCGTAACCAAAAAGTAACAAGTTCATCGAAAGGTTCATCAAAAAAAAAGGAAAGAGGCTTGAAAAATTGCGACCAGTCTGCTGATGATCGTCTGAAATCTAAGGAAGTAAGATATTCTCTCACCATATTTTCTGGTGGAGGTGGTGGGCTGTATGCTGACTTGTGTGGCACGGAGCTCGCCTCCCTGATGCTGTAGCTCTTGTTGTCACTGGACTCCAGCACCACTCGCGGCGGCTCGTTGTCTGGACATCATAAACCATTATTTATTCATTTATTTAACAGCTAAAGGAACCATTCACGTGGGAGACTTCTTCTTTGGCCTCACGTGACGTGAAAAAACGCATTCTTTGTGTTTAAGATTTTTTTTAAGGTAGGAATGTCATCGAATGACTGCTCCCGCCTGGGTGAGGCGGGAGGGAGTGTCAGATTCTTACTGACTAAAAACCACCCCGTTCCTACACCTGCACTTCGAGCCGGAGCACCGGTAACCCGTTAGGTTCTCCGCGTCAGTGCTTAAGAATGTAGCCTGATGTTCTCTGACTAAACAAAGCATGATGACATTAAATATCATTTGGCCAAACTTTTTTTTTATGGGACAAGCCCGCCACAACCTCCCAAAACAACTGCAACTCCTGTAAGCCAGGATCTACAGTAGATACAACCATGAAAACACCGGAACACTGAAGTCCGGCGCGTCCCAGGGACATGAGTAACTGTCTTGGTTCCCGTAACGAAGTGAATCAGAAGATATTATAAGAGGAGAAGAAGAAAAATCTATGGTTTCCACTTCCCTCGGTGAATTACTGCAGGAGACAGAATGAATTAAGCCTAAAGGCACAAAGAAGAGACTGTACAACTGGGTGAAGCTCATTTGGCCCAACTGTGAAAAATATTTGACAACAATATCTGTAGATATAAGTAGGTACAAAATTTCTAGTACAATTCGAACAAGTGATTCAAATAAGAACCTTACTCACCAGACTTAGGATTCAGTATATCAGGTTTGGTCTCCAACTTGTCTGCAGGTGCAGGGTATGCTATGAGAAACCGCCTCCCCTGAGCATCTACTTGCACTACGCTCTGCGAAGGTCGCTTGGAGGTGGTGGTAGTCTCTCCTCGCCTGGTAAAAAATCATATCTTATCTATACTAATATTATACAGCGGAAAAGTTTGTTTTTTGTTTGTTTGTTTGAACGCGCTAATCTCCTAAACTACTCGTCCGATTTGAAAAATTCTTTTTGTATTGGATAGCCCATTTATCGAGGAAGGCTATAGGCTATAAAATATCACGCTACGACCAATAGAAGCTGAGCAAAGCGTGTGGAACCGCGCGGAAGTAGCTAGTACTTACTATTTTATTAAGCGGAAGAGTTTGTTTTGTTGTTTGTTTGTTTGAACGCGCTAATCTCCATCACTACAAGTCTGATTTGAATAATTCTTTTTGTGTTGGATAGCGCATTTATCAAGAGTGACTATAGGCTATAAAACATCACGCTACGACCAACAGGAGCTGAGCAGAGCGTGTGAAACTGCGCGGAAGTAGCTAGTCATTACATACATACATAGATTAGATCACAACAGTTCTTGTCTGAAAATGTATTTTTGGTACAGACACTGATACATTTTTAATGGGATTTGGGAGGTTTCCATTGCCGTTTGCAGCACTAATTTTGAGTTTTATGTACTGAAATACTAACACGAACGATTCACCCAGTTCCCGTATCTATTCACGCCGTTAATTGTAACATTATTATGTATATTGGCTTCAATAATTGTATATTGAGAGTGAGTGAATGTATGAGACTGCCTGGTTGGCCGAGTGGTCGCAAGTGCGACTGCCGGGCAAGGGCTCTCGGGTTGAATTCCCAGGTCGGGCCAAATATTACTGGGATTGAAAAAAAAATCTCAGTAGGAGCACGAAGTCTAAAATCGCGCACGGTGTATGGCAATAGGCTCACTTCCTATTACATGGGACTCATAACATAAATAGTGAAAAGTGGGTGTTACATTGTACAGTGGCATTAAGTCCCGGCATGTGCACCTCTGTTACTTCGAGGATAAAAGGCGTGATATTATGTATATTTTAAAGGACCCTATGATACCATCTTACAATGCAAATACCTATCAAGTTTAATTTTGAACAGCTACCAAAAACTAACAAGAGAAGTGAAGAAAATTTTAATTAAACAAGTCTTCACACCGTATCTTGCGCCCGCAAACTACTTTAGATCTCATAAATACTCTTTAAAACAATAGTTGGCTGCACCCCCATAAACCAGGCGCCCTATAATCAACGTATGTTTAGTACAGAACTCGGCTCTCGGTTTGGCTAACAGCCAGCTAACATTTACTCAGACCTTATCTTAAATAACAAGTTACTAATAATAAGATCATTTCGACAAATGGCGTCCTTCGTTCTTGGATTTGGTTTATTGTTCTTTCCTATTTTTAAGGGGAAATAGTAGGTTTAATTTATTTAGGTATGACAGATAAGGTTTGTAATGTAATTGATTTTATTCGTAATTGCTGTTCCTTGAAATAGGTGCAAAACATTTTTTGTGTGGGAGAGCCATGCTTCGGCACGAATGGGCCGGCTCGACCGGAATGATACCACGCCCTCACAGAAAACCGACGTGAAGCAACGCTTGCGTTGTGTTTCGTCGAGTGAGTGAGGTTACCGGAGGCCTAATTACCCTCCCCTTCCCCAATCTCCCCAATCCCTGAATCCCCAACGATCCTCAAACTCAAAAAGCCGGTAACGCACTTGTAACGCCTCTGGTGTTCCAGGTGTCCATGGGCGACGCCGACTGCTTACCATCAGGTGATCCGTCTGCTAGTTTACCAGCAAATGCCATAAAAAAATTAATAGAAAAATTAAGCGCATACAAAAAATATCATAGCAATCATCAATTTCTCTAAACTTTGCTCACATTTTATAAAAAATTTAAAAACATCACATAACTAAAATATATAACCTCATGACAATCTAAAGACCTCGAAAACAATTAGCACAGTTCCCTACAAACTACAAGGAACAAGTGAAAACAAGCCAGTATTTCCTGAGTCCTATTGATGCAAACCAGTTTGTAGACACAAAGGTCTCCTAAGACCTCTTATAGCAGTCAATAAATAATAACTTCTGGTTCGAACCTGCAAAGTTAGTGTTACCTGAGTTGCATAGTCGTATAGTAAGTCTACATGGAACTATTGGCAGTTGCTACCATATACGATGAGATATCATCGTTTTAAATTGCAAATTGTAATGTATGTTTGCAGTTTGAGGTAGAGTGAGATGTAAGTTTAGGTGCTTGGTTTTATGTAGGCTTTTCAGGCCGTATTAGACTACGCTGGGAGACTTCGGCACACAATAAAAACTTTATTTACAATAGTAAAAATGAAAAATACAAAAATATATCTTAAGTGCCTACCTACGTACAATATTTCGTAATTCGGGGCCCTTTTTAATCATTTTTTTTAACGTCGCCCAACACTAGGATTTTCTCCTATAATTGTGGGGGCATACAAAGATACAAGTTCACATACACATGCCATCCAGACCCGGACAACAATTTGTGGATCACATAAAGATTTACTCGTGCGGGAATCGAACTCGCTACACGTTGCAGCGCAGCTGGTTGTCGTGCAACGAGTAGCGGGTGTGTGTGTGTCGTAGAAATTGTCGATCCTTGGGGTTTCTTGATAATGGGGGTCCTGGGCACGGGCCCCGAGTGTGCATAAGGTAAAGACGGGACTGGTTGTCAGTTTAATTAACAATTTATCCGCAGAACCATAATTTATACCTAGTTCTACAAGGTGTTGTTTTAAAGCCGCGTCATTTTCTAGGAGGTAACTCGGCTATCAATTCTGAGTCCGAATCAATAAAAAAAATTGTACTTAAATATTTTTCATTTTTCTGTAAATTACGAAATCCGTAAGTGCGAACTACACGCCGCAGTCTTGTAACTAGTTTTGTAACGCGGCTTAACACAGACAAACTCAAACACGTAATTGATATTATTTCTAATACCATAAAACTCCAATAAGAAACATTGCTGTCGCTTATTCTGAAATACTGTCGAACTTAAACGATTTATTATAGCCGTATTTTTAACTATTGGCCCGAAACTTTCTTTTACATTGAACCTTTATGACTTCTGTGATGCTCCCGAGAAATGCAACGGTTTCAAAACTACACCTTGTATATTTAAATGTTTTTATTAAGGACAACAATAGTAACTTAACCAGGTATTAAACCAAAGAGTTGGTATAGTTTTGAACTCTATAAAGTTAAACATTGATAAATTGAAAATAAGTGCTTAGTTTTGTTTACAAGGTATCTATTATATCTCTTGGTGGCACCAAGTAAGGTCCCTAAATAATAGTGAATATGGTTTAATATTTCAATTAAAGTAATAATAAACATAATTGAAGTCATATTATTTAGAAATGTCCTAATAATAAGTAAGTATACATAAGTTTCAATGCTTGTATAACATTTAATATAAATAAATACATTTAATTATAATGCCTAGCGACTCTGCCCCACAGTCAAACCATTGTAACGGTTTTGAGAGGCTTAGATTATAAAATACTCACCTTTGTGATATAAAGATAAATCAATAAATAATAAAATAATAATAAGAACATATATTCAAAACTTATAATATCAATTTAACGATTTGAGAACAATTAAAGAAGTACTTACTTTCTCACAGCGAGTACTGCAATAGCGCCTGCCGCAGTTAAAATAGCAGCCAGTCCCGCGAACGCAGCAGCTGTCGGAAACTTCGTCTCAGCTCGAGTTGTGCTCTCTGTGTTAAATAAAAAGGAACGAATATGTATATTTAATATTGAATTTTTTTTTCTACACACGTAATAGAGCCCATAACCAATTTAAATCTAAAATCTTTGACATTTTAGTATTATTTTTTTGAACAATTTACCGCCGTACTCAGTTATTTAAAGGCTACTTAACGCAGTCCTTAGCAATTGTTTTGGGAACAAAATCGTTACCTACTAAGGAATAGTTTAGTATAACATCATCATCACGCCTTTATCCCCGAAGGGGTAGGCGGAGGTGCACATTGCCACTGTACAATGTAACATCCACTTTTCACTATTTATGTTATAAGTCCCATGTAATAGGGGGTGAGCCTATTGCCATATACCGGGCACAATTCCAGACTCCGTGCTACTACTGAGAATTCTTAAAAGAACCCAGTAATACTTTGCCAAACCCGGGTATCGAACCCAAGGACCCTTGCTCGGCAGTAGCACTTACGTTCACACGGCCAATGCAATATGTAATTCTAATATTTCATTCTCACGTTCAGGAAATTAAAAAAAAAAAACTATCAAGAAAGATAAACCAACAAAGCTAAGTCAAGCTTTAAATACGAAAAAAACATGTACAAAATATTTGACTATTCGTACCTGTGAATAATTCCATCGACTATTATATTAGCTGAAGGCGAAATAAAGAAAAAAGTAAAAACGAAACCCTTTACTAAAACATTTTTTTCCGTTTACGACATGAATTCGATAGTTTTTCATCCATTACTGTTGGCAAAGGAAATGATTATAAGAAAACATATCAATATGTGGAAGAAATATCAAAAAAATACAAATGATATTCTATTTCCGGGAAAAGAGCAATAATATTGATACATAATATCTAGTATGAACACATTTTTATTTCTCCGGAAGGGTAAGGATAAAATTTTTTTTTTGTTTTTTTTTTGTCTGTTGCTATTTTTTGACGGGGTAAATCATAAAATGAGCTCAAGGTGGGAACCTTGAGTAAGACGAAAAAAAGTGTCAGAATCTTACTGACTGAAAACCACCCCGTTCCAACTCAAAGTCAAAGTCAAAGTCAAAATCATTTATTTCAATTAGACCAGGAAGGCACTTTTGAACGTCAGCAATAGAAATTTAAAAGTGAAGCTATTTGCTCATTCCAAGGTGTAGATTCCTATAGAGAAGGACGAGCAAGAAACTCCATAGGTTACTCCTTTCCAATCATGTTCACAATACAATTCTCCAGTTACACAGTTTTATTGGTTCGATTGTGCGAGAACAATGTAACACCAAACACTCCTGCTTCACCCCTAATTCCTTTGCAATTGTTTACGCGCAGCTACTGGATCGCTTGAAACTTGTCGAGCTCCTCACACAGTTACGTAAGTAAGCCGAAAACATAATACTTAATCTATTATGTCCAATAAAATTTATATACTACCTTACTATCTTTATAGTGTTAGCATGTTTAAACTGTCAAACACCAAGCGGTCACCGGTGACCGCGACCTATTGTTCTTTAATTGTGTCTATAAAACCGGTACTCGACGAGTTAACCCGACGAGCGTCCGCATTCTTTATGATCCAACGGGTGCACACGTGACATTTGGAGAAAGAATGAAAGAAAATGCATTTATTTGGCCATTTTTTTTAAGGGGGGAAAATCATCGAATGACTGCTCCCGCCTGGGTGAGGCGGAAGGGAGTGTCAGACTCTTACTGATTAAAAACCACCCCGTTCCTTCTCCTGCACGTCGAGCCGGAGCCCCGGTTACCCGTTAGATTCTCCGCGACCATTTATTTGGCGATTTATTTGGCCATTGGCATACGAAAACAAGGATCATTACAATAGAAATAAAAAATACAGTCAAAATAAAAACAAAACATTAATAATAGATTTTATAAAAGAGGAAGCAGCATGGAGCATTTTTTCTTATGATCCACCGGGTGCTCATAAGGACGCTCGAGGGGTTAAAACCAACAAAAATGAAATCCTAAGTGACGTTAACTGGTTAAAAAATCGAATGCTTTGTGTTTTTGCATGCAGAAAATATATCAAAAATTGAATTGCAATACAATTTGATTAAATTTGCTTTTATTTGCAAACTCTGATCCATTGGATTGAATGTGAATTTATTGAGGCACAGATAAAAAATAAAACAGTGAATGTCTAAATGTAATTAACTGTTTTGCTCTTGGACTTATGGGCGTCAATTCAGAAATTAGGGACGGCTGTGAATCGTGACTAGATTAAAATTTGTAAGAATGTGAGATGTGAGTAGGTATTTTAACTGTCCTCGAAACCTAGTATGGACAAAATCCGGACATAGGGCTACTGTTAAATACTAGGAACATAAATACCGCTCTAATGGAAACTCGACCCAAAGACTTGTTTCTTGATTGTAATATAATTAGTCATGTGATGCCGCAAAAATACATTTGTTAGCCAGTCTTACTAATCTCGCGGCAGCCGTGTGAGTTGACTAAGGAACTAAGAAAGAAAGAAAAAACATTTATTTGGCAAATGGCACACAAACAAAGATTATGAAAAATATAAATACAGATAATTACATAAATACATAATATTAATAACAAACATAAAAGCGTAAACAAAATAAAAAAAATCATCAAAAAATAAGAATGTACATACAATACGAAACAAATGCAATAAGTTTTTGATATAAAGAGAAATTAAATATACAAAAAAAACATAATATAAATAATATAATACATACATAGCTACTTTAAATTACATAAATATAACTACTTTAACAGAAACCAGGCAGTACTTAGTGTTCTCAGATAAACCTTTTTAAACTGTGATCTCCAAGGTTCAACCCAATAGGCAAGCGTGGAGATAATGGCAAAATCTTTTTTTAACCGACTTCAAAAAAGGGAGGAAGTTCTCAATTCGACCGTATATAATTATGTTTTTTTTTAAACCACGACGGTGGCGTCAAAAGCCCTGATGGCCCTGATGGTAAGCGGTTACCGTGGCCTATGTACGCTTGGGGCATTATGACATTAAACAAGAACCATCCCCTCTTGAAAAATCCTCTTTTGTAGAGAAGAAATGATGAGTACAATCACCGTCGAAGGTCGATATAACAAAAAGTTTTGCAAACTACGAAATATAAGGTCATAATTCAGGCGTACCAGCAAATTGAACTGGCCTTCAGGCATTTGGCGATGAATGGACAATATCGGCGGCTAATCGCAATTGTGCGGCCCATAGCTTCTACGACAGATATATGACCAATGGTTATAGTTCCCTAAAGCGGTAAGCAGAGGTATCTATTATTTATGCTTATCGCAGTTACGCTATAAGTTCCTTTTAATTTGACAAAATGAAGTCCAATAGACATGATAAGGATAAATTAACTGAAATTGGGTAGTTGCCAGGGTATGTCAAAGTCAAACTCAAAGTCAAAGTCAAAATCATTTATTTCAATTAGACCAGAAAGGCACTTTTAAACGTCAAAACAAAATATTTAAATATTAAATAATAAGAAAAAATATCAGTCTGTAGGTCAGTCCTCTAGTGAAGCTATGATAATTAAAAATCTAAATAGTCCGTCAGTTAGATAATGAAAACATAATATTACGTATATTTTTTATTTTCTCATATAAAGTTACGACGTATATGATATAGCACGTTGTGAATTTAGCCGAAAGATATTATATTATGTTGACTGCCTCGTTGACCGAATGGTCGCAAGGGCGACTGCCGGTCAAGGGGTTTCGGGTTCGATTCCCGGGTCGGGCAAAGTATTACTGGGTTTTTAAAAATTTCAGTAGTAGAGTGTCGTGACGTATAACATGATGTATAACGTTGTGAATTTAGCTGAAAGATATTATATAAAACTCAAAAGTCACGCAAACTATCAATTATTCCATTCTATAGAAGTAGAGAGCATTTCGATGTCACAGTTCTCAATGACCAGACAAAGAGCTAAGGTTGTGTCAGCCGTCAATTTGGAAAACTAAAACTGGAATCGTAGACTACCTATCGGAAAGTCAGATTTGTGTTCAAAACGCTCGACTTTGGACTGCCTCGTTGGCCGAGTGGTCGCAAGTGCGACTGCCGGGCAAGGGGTCTCGGGTTCAATTCCCGGGTCGGGCAAAATACCTCTATTACTGGGTTTAAAAAAATTCTCAGTACCTAGTAGCACAGAGTCTGGTATATACCTAATATGGCAATATACTCACCCCCAATAGGATGATAACATATCATGGATATATGTAATAACATATCATAACATAAATAGTGAAAATTGGGTATTGCTTTGTACAGTGGTATAATTTGCACCTCTGCCAACCCCTTCGGGGATAAAAGGCGTTATGTTACGTTATGTTATGTTTAGTTTTAGCGTGATTGACGGACAAACATCCAACCATCCATTCAAAAAAGGGGTATAACACCAGGTTGTAAGTCATATCTCTCTCAGTAGCGATCAGTTTACACTCGTCTAAAATTTAACTGAGTGTTCAGAGTGCCAAGCACGAATAACTAACGCATTCGTAATGTAATAGTATCGAGTGCGTTCGGCGCTCTGATTGGCCGGCTCAAGTGAACCAACCAATCAGAACGCTTAACTCGCTCGATACTGTTACGATACGAATACGATAGTTATTCGTGCTTGACCCTCAGATCGCCGTATACAGAGTGTTCAGAGCACAGTATACAGCGTGTTTTACTATAATGAGTGCTGGTCCAAACTTAACAGTGTCGTTAAATTTATGTCCTGAAGTTTACATTCACACTGCTTCGTGGCTGCAGAGATTAGTGATCTTTAGAGTCAGAGCATTTGGGTTGGTTTTTAGATTTTGCCCGACTAACTTTTTTAAATTTCGATTTGTTTTTATAGAAACCCTCGTTGGGCGAGTGGTTGCAAGTGCGATTGCCAGGCATGGGGTCTCGGGTTCGATTCCCGGGTCGGGCAAAGTATTACTGTTTTTTTTTTAAATGCTCAGTAGTGGAGTCTGGAATTTCTCTAAAAGCGATTTATAGTTCGGTCAAGTTGACAGATCGCAATCGTCATTGCCATCAAAGATACGATCAGTCTATTTTTGCTCACCTGCCCTTTTCTCTGCGTCTCTGAAGACCAGATCCCGGAGCAATACAGGATCTGAAGCGCCCTTGCTGTTCCGAGCAGTGACTGCAAGATCCTCATCTTCCTCTAAAGCATCCACTGCTGACCAGCTGATGTTGAACCAGACTATTAGATCTGTGGAGAAAGATTTTGTTAAGTATTTCATAGTGTGGGAGAGCCATGCTTCGGCACAAATGGGCCGACTCCACCAGAGTGATGCCACAGCCTTGTCGAAAACTGACGTGAAACAACACTCGCGGTCTATTTCATCGTCTGAATGACATTACCGGGGATCCAATTAACCTGTCCATTCATCCCCATATCTGACGTCATCCTTTCACTCCGTTTTCTTTCACCCAAGTCCATCTATTTAAGTGTGGGAGAGTCATGCTTCATCACGAATGGGCCGGCTTGACCGGAGTGATGCCACGACCTTGTCGAGAGCTGACGTGAAAAACGCTCGCGTTGTGTTTCGTCGTGTGAGTGAGGTTACCGAAAGCCCTATTGCCACCCCCTACCACATTCCTGAATCCCCAAAAATCCTCAAAAGGCCGGTAATGCACTTGTAAAACCTTTAGTGTTTCGGGTCGTCGATTGTTTACCATCAAGTGATCCGTTGATTCAGAGGCGATTTACCCTATTACTTATATTATTACCATAAATTGGTTATCCTATCTCATGGGTTATCCCATAAGAAACCTTTTTCATTACCATGAACGATGTGGTGATAGTAGAGAAGAATACATTTATGACCATCGCTATTTTTCTCGTGAAAGTCCGCCTTATGTGCCATATTAAAATTGTGTACATTAAAGATTAAATAAATAAATAAAATAAATAAAAGCCGACACAACACATTTGACAAAATGAACAGTGGCACTCTCTGATAATCCTCTTTATAAACTGCAATCTAAAAACCATCTGTCCAGGCTGGATATTATGGGAAACTCTTATGAAGAAGGCCTGTAGGTCAGCAGTGGAATATCAAGCGTTGTCGATGGTAATTAAAGATTTGAGATATGTTCTCTGCCGTAACCACTCAATTATTAATAAAAAGGCAATAGCTATCACCTTTTCAACAGATTAAAATTTAACTATTTTTAACTGGAAAACGTATAAAAACAATTTAATATTATTGAACAGCATACAAATCATCATATCTGTCGGATGTGTCATCCAGTCTCATTACCGAACGTCGGTTGCAAACTGACACTTTAAAACCAAATATCATATTGATTTTCGTCAGAAAGCCATGGAGTATAGAAGTCAGGAGTACTGTATTTAAAAATTTTGTATTTAATCAAAGAGTATTCGTTAAAATGTGCAAAAAGGTGTTGCCATATTCCATGTATAAACATCGGAGACGATGGTGACAGTACATCCTTTGTCTTCTCTTCCCGTGCGTATCCTAAGTGCTGACTAATGGACTACATATTTAACAGAGCCGAAGCAAAAGCGCTCTTAAAGAAATCTGAACACAGAAATATTATTATATCTAACACCACATGAACACGAATACCGCACGAACACAAAGATTCATATCTGATTAAACTGTGGTGTTCAAGAAGAAGATTGAGGTTGCAAAGAAGTCCCGTAGTCCATTCGTAGACTACATATGTTGCAAAAATGTTTTTTTTTAACCGACTTCAAAAAAGGAGGAGGATTTTTAAACACTACAATTTGGTAAGGGTCTGGAGTCGACCTGATGATGGAGCCGATAGACAGTCGAGGGAACTCCTCAGCGGTTTATACTAACTACCTTGTGTTTGGGCTTGATTAATTTGTATTGATGAGGACTTTACACCTAGATAGAGTAGGGCTGTCACTGAGGGTCTGATGATGAAGAAGTGTAATTGTTAAGGGAACTCCTCAACGGTATACTGTAACTACCTTGTGTTTAGGCTTGTATAATTTGTATTGATTAGAACTTTGCACCTATGTATATTATAAGTAACAAAACGGGTATATGTAGCTTTACACTGAAAATGATAAAATAATAAAATAAAAACTGCGTTTAAAAAACCGACTTCAAAAAACTAAAAACTAATAACAAACAAAAAGTCTAAACTAAAAAGCAAAAAATAACTATTATTAGTACTGATAGGTTACCCACCCACTGATAGGTTAGAAGTCGGTGCCATAAGCTCATATCATAATGATATAACTGTCCACAAAATTGTGAATTAGGTACCTATTAAGGTTTTAATGAATAATTTTGTATGGAACTTATGGCACCGACTTCTTACCTATCAGTGGGTGGGTAACCTATCAGTACTAATAATAGTTATTTTTTGCTTTTTAGTTTAGACTTTTTGTTTGTTATTAGTTTTTAGTTTTTTGAAGTCGGTTTTTTAAACGCAGTTTTTTTAATAGATACAGCTTGGTTTGTTTTATATGGTTGTTTTATTGGAATTAAAAGTAATTATGACGGTACTCTTTAAGCACCATACTCCATGACCAAACCAATTAACACCACACGGTGCCATTTTAAAATTATTATTAACGTTCGTTTTGTTACAGGTACCTACGTAATAATTTTGAATTCGGAATACGATGTTCTAAATTTCAATTGTTGACGTGCAATGCATAATGCGTGATGACGTCAATAGTTCTGTTTAGAAGATAGATTGAATTGTCTACGTTGTAAATGCTAAATAATCCTGTTATAAGATTTTCAACTTTATGATTATTATGTTAAAGTTAAGATAGCCTCGGTGTTTTTTTGCAAGACTGATAATCTATACTAATATTATGTCGCGGAGAACCTAACGGGTAACCGACGTGCATGAGAAGAAACGGGGTGGTTTTTAGTCAGTAAGAGTCTGACACTCCCTCCCTCCTCACCCAGACGAGAGAAGTCATTCGTTGACTTTCCCCCCTTAAAAAAATACTAATATTATAAAGCTGAAGAGTTTGTTTTTTTGTTTGTTTGTTTGTACGCGCTAATCTCCGAAATTACTGAAAAGGTTTTTATGACCTACGGACATGGAAGACACGGGATTGCGTGTACGAAGTCGCGGGCAGAAGCTAGTTATAATACTTCCTCTTCTTCATACTCAAAATACACGAAGGGTAAACTTACCAATAAAATTAGCAGTAGTATTAGAGAGGGTCTTTCCATTCTCTCCCAGGATGTCCAGAGTGAAGTGCTGGTTTAGACCTCCATCGTAGCCAGCTGCACACTTGACGGAGAGGAGTGCTTCGTTGTGGACGATTACTCTCTTAGCTGTGCAGTTCCGCGGTGGTGATGGACGAGCTGGTGGTACAGAGGCGGGTAAAAAATATTAAGTTAATATTGTTTTTTAACTTTGGACTGCCTCATTGGCCGCGTGGTCTAGGACTTGGTGCCTCGGGTTCTATTCCCGAGTAGGGCAAAGTATTACTGGGTTTTAAAAGAATCTCAGTAGTAGCACGTAGTCTGGAATTGTGCCCGGTATATGACAATAGGATCACCCCCTATTACATGGGATTAAAAACATAAATAGTGAAACGTGGATGTTGGTATGTAATTTGATCATTATATAATAGCTGAAAGACATTCAGATTACAGACAATATCTCTATGTGTGGCTTACATTAAATATACCTCCTATATTTTTTGTTAATTATGTTATTAATTTGTTATGAATCCCGTCAAATAAGCAAGTTAATGGTGATTCATTATACACTGGTTACCATTATGGACTTAAAATTTTTCTTAAGAAGTAATATTGAAAAACTCTTAAACCAACAGTACAGTTTTCCAAAAAAAACATTTTGAATCTGAGATTTCATTCTTAGATAGTCACACTTGCGACCATAAACAGTCGAACTAATACAATATAAATCAATTGGATTAAGAACAAACACTAAACTGAACTCCCCTATATCAACCATAAAATAAAAATGCAACGAAAATAAACAGTTCGCATACAAAAACATTCAACTTCAGCGAAAAGTTGTAGAAATTCCACTCCGACCTGATTCCGTATACCTACGACTTTACAACTGAAATCGCGATTGCAAAACTTTACTCGTATTTCCAAAATGGCCGTCGAACTCCGGTCATCGAGCACTTTAAGGGACTGTGTAGACTAGCAACTTTTACTGTAAGACTAATGCCGGAATACTGAAACGTTACTTAATTTTAAGTCGTGCTCAAATATCGTGTCATCTCTGTCATTTTACAAAGAATTTGTAGAGATAGAACTATACTTAAGCACGACTTAAAATTGAGTAGCGTTTCAGTATTCCGACAAAAATCTATTGTAAATAAGATCTTCCAAGAACTTAATTGCATACTGTGGTAGTTTTGTGTGAATTTGCCTTGTACTTTGCGTTTGCCCGCATGAACTAATGTGGGAGACCCATGCTTCGGCACGAATGGGTCGGCTCGACCGAAGTGATAGCACGGCCACACAGAAAACCGACGTGAAACAACGCTTGCGTTGTGTTTCGTCGTGTGAGTGAGGTTACCGGAGGCCCAATTAACCCCTTCCAAAATCTCCCCAATCTCTGAATTCCTAAAAATCCTCATACTCTTAATCCCCAAAAGACCGGCAACACACTTGAATCGCCTCTGGTGTTCCAGGTACCCAAGGGTGACACCGACCGACCATCAGGTGATGCGTCTGCTCGTTTTCCGGCTCATCCCATAAAAAGACACTTTCCGCTTCTCCGTGTTCTCAAAAATAATATTATGTGTGTTAACAAGAATATTGATTGAGTAAATGAAGTATATAAATGATACAAATAAACTCATGGGAGAGGTTTAACCGGAGTGATACCATGGCCTCACAGAAAAGCGACGTGAACCAACGCTTGCGTGTACCTATTCAAAGTCAAAGCCAAAATTATTTATTTCAATTAGACCAGAAAGGCACTTTTGAACGTCAACAACAAAAATATTTCAGTAACTGTAAGGTTACAGGGGTACCCAGTGATGCAGTTGAGTAAACTTAGGGGATTTTTTTTTTCTTTTTTTTTTTTTTAAGGGGGGAAAATCATCGAATGACTGCTCCCGCCTGGGTGAGGCGGAAGGGAGTGTCAGACTCTTACTGACTAAAAACCACCCCGTTCCTTCTCCTGCACGTCGAGCCGGAGCCCCGGTTACCCGTTAGGTTCTCCGCGACTCCGAATCGGCATCGGCCCTATTGGGCCCCATCTGTGGTGGTCTGATGGCTCTTTGAGGCGCGCGCGGAACGCGACGCGCCGTACGCTCGGGTCTGCTTCTGGTCGGACGGGGAGCCACCCATGCTCGCCGTCCGCAGGCCCGCGCTTACGGTGGCCGGAGATCGTCCCGCGATCCCCGACGCCCGGTGTGTCCTTCGCGATGGCTGGGTTGCGAGGAGGCAGCGCTTCGCTGCCTCACGCGTCCCGCCTCCTCCTTAGCTAGCATGACTGCTTCGCAAAAGGAGGAGACGGCATCCCAGTCCCCCTCGCTCCGCATCATGGCCTGCACTAGGCCCGGACGCGAGAGGTCGCCATCGCCGATCACTTCCCTGAGGGCACGGCGGTGCTCAGCCCACGCAGGGCATTCTCCCACTGTGTGTTCCACCGTGTCCTCAGGGCGAAACTTAGGGGATAGAAGTTCCTCGTCTACACAGACTCTAAGGCAGTCCCGGAAGATTTTAATTAACTTTGTAAAATTATTAATTTACAGCATCTACCTACAATTTCTAGGTATTATCTGTCGAAGTCTGGTCGATTCGAACTTTGATTAATTGCTTCATTGCGAAAACGATTCTCTATTAATTTTGGTTTCCAATATTATTATGGAATGTTAAGATTATATTGTAAGTAACTTTGTTTTTTGATGTTTTACGAGTTTAGCATTGTTTTGTGTGGATAGCGAGTTTGGTATTGATTGGCAATGTTGTGTGAACATGAATTTTTAATTGTAGTTAATGTAAGAAGGTAAATAACACCTATATCCTTACTATCCTTACTATATAATATTATAAATCGGAAAGTGAGTTTGTTTGTTTGTTCCGACTTCACGCCGTAACTACTAAACCGATTGCATTGACTTTTTGCAGACGTAAAGTTAGTAGTCTGGATTAAATAATAGGGTACTTTTTATACCGGAAAAATTGATATTCCCGAGGGAAAACAAAAGTATTAGTACTTATAGATGGCGCTGTATGTATTGGTATATGTCACATAGGCTACTTTTTATCCTTTTGTGACGCGAGCGAAGCCGCGGGTAAAAGCTAGTAATATATAAGTTACACAAATTGATATCAACTTTTTGAATATTCGAGCGTTATTCATGCCAATACTAATTAGATTTTACTAAACAAATGCATAGTTAGTAATTAATTGACGGCACCGTTGGCGCGGTGGCTGGGCAACTGGCTGCCGCGCAACGTATAGCGGGTTCGATTCTCGGACGGAACAACTCTGTGTGTGATCCACAGATTGTTGTTTCGGGTCTGGGTGTCATGTGTATGTGAAATTGTATCTTTGTAAACGCACCCACGACACAGGAGAAAATCATAGAGGGGGGCAACGTTTATTTAAAAAAAATGTATTAAGTACATACTAAATTTTGAATAGTCGACGAATAATAATTCAGAATTAATAAAAGTCATCAAGAAGTCTTTTGTATACCCCTAAATATCGATATACTTAAAAATATAAACACTTTAACGTTATTTCACTTCACTACTCTCAAGTAACTAAAACTATAATCATTACTTTATCTTCAAAATTACACCTTCGCAGCCAAAGTCACGACACATACAACTAGTCTTCAATAAATTCACCCACTCTGTTAACGTAGGTACTTATACAATTTGGGAGTAGAAAAGCCGAAACTGTATTTGTCTTACATTAGTGAACCACTTTGAAAATACATCTTACATATTGTGCCTGGTTCCTTCAGTTTACACAAAATATATTCATACATATATACGTATGTGTGTGTGTAACCTTGTAGTTCGATCCTTGGTTTGGACAAAGTACCTATTGTTCGAAACGTTTCATAAAAGGTTAGATTTTTACCTATTATTAGTCATTATTTAAAGTTATGAATAATTTTGGTTATCATATAGCTAGCATTTTTTAAGGGGGGAAAATCATCGAATTACTGCTCCCGCCTGGGTGAGGCGGGAGGGAGTGTCAGACTCTTACTGACATATAGCTAGCATTGGTTATTATATAGAGGTTATTTAAATGCTTTTTTTAAATTCTCAGTAATAGCACGGAGTCTGGAATTGTGCCCGGTATATGGCAATAGGTTCACCCCCTATTACATGGGACTCATAACATAAATAGTGAAAAGTGGGTGTTACATTGTACAATGGCATAATTTGCACCTCTGTCTACCCCTTTGGGGATAAAAAGCGTGATGTTATGTTATATTATATAGCTTGCAGTGACGAATCAATAGAACACATATATTGTTAGCACTCCTCCGTGTCTTTAGATCTGACTAAGGCATTACACATATAAAACAGACGCAACTATCTCTTACACTCAAGTGAAACCTATTAATAGGTTCAAGGGTTTGGCCCCTACCAAGCGAGGATCGTCGTCATGGTGACCCAGAGGTTAAGACACCCGCTTTTCATGCATGACCCTCATGCTTGGTTCAAAACCTACCAACGGGAAGTACCAATGTGACTTTTCCGAGTTATATGTACTTTCTAAGATAATTTAGACACCACTGACAAACGGTGAAGGAAAACATTGTGAGGAAACCTGGGCTTATAATTTTTAATTATATTTTGAAAGTTTGAAATCGTTAACCCGTAATGAGGAAGCGTGGTGATTAATGCTCAAACCTTCTCTGTGTGAGAAGAGGCTATGCTCAGTAGTAGGCACTTATGGGCTGTTGATGAAGGGAGGATATTATGGCTAGCCATCATGTGTATAAAGGTTGTAGGTATGTATGAGGGAGGCCTACAGTCCAACGGTACATTATTAGGACTTATTGATGTTGACTTACTCCGTAGGGCGTAGCGTAGGGCATTCGGAACTGTGACACGTTGGTGAGTTACTGAACTATCCACGCACTATTATCGATCATTAACCAATAAGTCATAATGTACTATCGGTAAAGTTTACGGTAGTATAGTATTTAATCAAAATCCTGTGGCAATCTCGCTATCCAACGGGCGTTTTCCCTGTGGTCGCTCGCGCCGAGTGCATGCGAATATCGCCCAATGATAGTCGACGGCTAACTTTGTCGATTGTACGCACATAAATCATAATCAAATACAGTTCAAATGTTTAAATCAACAGTCTATTTGAAACTAATACTAGGAATAATTTTCCACAATTTTGTTTGTTAATTACATTTTATTACTCTTGTATTACGATGGTAGCAAATCACAATTAAAGCGGGATAGTTTTAGTAAATTAAATAATAGCTTTGTTGGAACTGTTAATAGCAAAATTTCAATAGATAGATAATAATAAATGAAGCTATTTTAATTATAACAATGGAGTGTGTGTTTTGGAGTGGAGAGAGCGTCTAGCTAAACATAGAGTAAGGCGCTGTCTAGCTAAGCTATGCTAGCGATAGTGGTTGAATGCAAACAGCTAAAGACAAAGCTCAGTAACTATGACATTGGAGACTTTATCATGGACCGAAGATGATGGAAATAAGAATGGGGACGGCTCTTAATAGAAAACATTATTTGGGGACTATTTAATTTGGTCAAGTGCTCGCATAGCAGATTACTAAGGACGAGGAGTTGATCGTTGAGTTGCAAAAACGTGTGTTCTACTTCAAGTTTAATCGTTTTCGTAGGATTATTTCTCATATGCCGTGGGTGCGTTTACGAACATACAAGTTCACATACACATGACACCCAGACCCGAAACAACAAAGCGGCAATTACATGGACAAGTGTGAGTTACGAAGGATACCGATACTGCTTTACAAACTAAGCTATAAGCTTGTATTTTGGAAAACAGTGATTCAGGCGTAGAGTATGTCACTAGGTCGCATTATATGTCCGTCAATAATGAAGTGAATATCACTGCTGTGTAGGGAACTGTGATCAAAAACAAAAGTAATAAAATTAAAAAGGGATTTTTTATATTTGATGGGCCGACGTTTGACCACAATCTCGCCTGATGGTAAGCGATGATGCGGTCTACGATGGAGCACGTCATGCCATAAGCAAACTATTCACTCGGGCCTTGAAGACAACCAGGTTATCCTTACTATTATAAATGGGAAAGTGAGTTTGTTTGTTGGTTTGTTTGTTCCGCTTTCACGCCGTAACTTCTAAACCGATTGCTTTGAATTTTTGCAGACGTAAAATTAGAAGTCCGGATTAAATAATAGGGTACTTTTTATCCCGGAATATTTTAGTATTCCCAAGGGAAAACAAAAGAATTGGTATAGATGGCGCTGTGTGTATTGGTATAGGCTACTTTTATATCCTTTTGTGACGCGAGCGAGGCCGCGGGTAAAAGCTAGTAGATTATATTCCTTTCAGGAAATACAGACTCTGGCAAAGAATTCCACTACTTAGCAGTACGCACAAGGATGATACACATAGTATCCCTATTTATTGCAAGGAGACCTCGAAAAAGTCAAGTCAAACCAATAACTAAGGTTTTAACACCCAATTCCTCCCGGACTACTATACGGCACGGACATTCGATAGACTATAAAATTAGTCATTTCACAGGTAATTTTGCCAGCTATAAATTCGATTAAATTCTCAAGTTTTACGAGCGAGTACGTGCGATATCACTAGTTTTGGGATATTAATACTATTCACTTGTGTCAGTTGGTTTAGTAGATTGAAATTAGGTACTGTACTTACTGGTGCATCTAGTAACTGTGTGAGATATTTTCAAAGATATTTTCTTCACCTTTGGTATTTGTTGCGGAGAACCTAACGGGTAACCGGGGCTCCGGCTCGACGTGCAGGAGAAGGAACGGTGTGGTTTTTAGTCAGTAAGAGTCTGACACTCCCTCCCGCCTCACCCAGGCGGGAGCAGTCATTCGATAATAAAAAAACCTTTGGTCTTTAACATTTCTTTTCGAAGAAGTTATCATAATATACCTTTTGTCAAATATCAGGCTGAAGTCATTTTATAATGCTTTACTTCTTTTTTTATGGGATAAGCCGGTAAACGAGCAGACGGATAACTTGATGGTAAGCAATCGGCCTCACCCATGGACACCTGGAGCACCAGAGGCGTTACAAGTGCGTTACCGAAAACAATTAATTTTGACTGTAAAATAAAAAATATGTAGTTGAATGACAAGGGCACGGACGTGTCCGATAGTCCGTGGAGAAAAAGAAATCTAATATATATGTCAAAGCGTCAACGCATGTCAATCGATTTAAATGTGGCAACTATTGTTTGAGAACGTCAAGTAATTACTTGAGGATGGTTAGTAGTTTGAGGATCGTTGGGATTCAGGGAATGGGGCGATTGGAGAAGGAAGGGGGTAATTGGACCTCCGGTAACCTTACACGACGAAACACTACACAAGAGTCCTTCTAAGTATAAGAAATACTTTTCTTAAAACCGCATCAAAATCGGGTCAGCCTATCGCGAGATAATTGCCTACAAACATACATACAGTCAAACTGAGAAACTTCTTTTTTGAAGTCGGTTAAAAACGCGCTATAACCTACCCTTTTACAAAAACACTTTTTACTTTTAAAAAAACGTTGCTCCACACTAGGATTTTCTCCTGTGTCGTGGGTGGGTTTACAAACATACAATATCACATACACATGACACCCAGACCCGGAACAACAATCTGTGGAATACACAAAGAATTGTTCCGTGCGGGAATCGAAGCCGCGACACGTTGCGCGGCAGCCAGTTGCCCAGCCACCGCGCCAACCGTGCAGTTTAATCTCAATACTAACACAACATTAATAGGTATAATGTAAAACATAATTTATATTGACGATTAGCGAACAATTACTCGTTGTTTTCATCCAATTAAACGTGTTGTTTTCATACAGAATTTTAGTGGGTTATTTTTTAATTTACAGCGCCTAAGGCCGGGCCCTGTTCCAGTTCAATATATTATTTTAGGATAATTTTTTTCCTTACAAAAACAGGCCTATTCTATTAGCCCTGTTCTTCGTAATGGGCGAAAAAAATTAAAAAGGACGGCTGGCCAAGAAGCGTAGAAAAACGGATCGTTTGTTGTTATTTATCGAAGTGTTTGTTTTGGTGGAAAATATTGGTTGGTTATTGTAGAGGTATTTTTAATAATAATTAGTGTAACGTAGATTGGGGGTTGTTTTAAACTGGGGAATTTTATTTACTAAATAGATTTTTTATATTTGTTGGGACTAAGTTCGGCCACTATCTTGCCTGGTGGTAAGCGATGATGCGGTCTACGATGGAGCACGTCGTCTCATAAGCAACCTATTCACTCAGGCCTTGAAGACACCCACCCATTAGGAAACACAGACTTTGGCAAAGAATTACACCATTTAGCAGTATGTTCAAAGAAGCTTGAAGCGAAACGCTTCGTGTGAGTTAACCAATTAACCATGTAGGTTGATATCTATTATGTTATTGTTATTATTAAATAAACATTAAAGCAATACATTATATTACATTGAAGAAAACAATAATTGTGGTAAATAACCACCAGGCGAGATAGTGGACAAACGTGTCGGCCCATCAAACATATTATATTTAACATAACATAACATCACGCCTTTTATCCTCGAAGGGGTAGGCAGAGGTGCACATTATTCCACTGTACAATGTAACACCCACTTTTTACTATTTATATTATGAGTCCCATGTAATAGGGGGTGAGCCTATTGCCATATACCGGGCACAGTTCCAGACTACGTGCTACTACTGAGAAGTTTTAAAAAACCCAGTAATACTTTGCCCGACCCGGGAATCGAACCCGAGACCCCTTGCCCGGCAGTCGCACTTACGACCACTCGGCCAACGAGGCAGTTATTTATATTTAAATAAAAAATATTTTTCCCAACCATCTTCGAGGCCTCAAGCACCTTTAAAATAGGCAACAACATATTTACTATAGAATGTAATTCCCATTGTTGGGAAAACAAATCTTAGCACGCCCATAAATAAAATGAGTCAAAATTCATTATTTTTATAACAAGACTATTTTCTGTCTTATCCATTCTCTTTCTTCACTCTGCGTCCATTGTTTCGGCTGGTTGATGTCTTGATGGGGTCTGACCATGGGGTTTATGGAGGTACCGTCTTGAAACGACGAGGTCAAGTTGATTTAATGAGAGTTCCCTTAATTAACAATGTAACAAGTCTTTTCAGTATCAATTTTCTTTATGAAATCGTATTTTTTTGAGAGATTTGATTTTTGCCTTTTTTCATTTCATGAATTTATTTTTTTTATTCACCTTCCGCATTAAATAACGAATAGCAGACTTACAAATAATAAATCTCTTTTAAAAAGATTAAAGTAACAATTGGCCCTATCATAACAAAGTCAAAATTACTTACTTTTGAAACCAATTCCGGTCGATCGAGATTGGTATTGTGAATGTTTCTTCTATCATGAGCTAGCTTCCATTACATTTGTATTGCGTGGATATTTATTAAACTAAATGGTACTAGCCTTGTATTCTGTACTCTGAATGCTTGTTTATTAGTTACGATAGGAGCTGTATAGTTTTGACATTGAATAATTGTTTTTGACGAACAGTTCGGACAACGAAATTTTTGACGTTTCAATAGTGCCTTAATAAATGATTTGACTTTGACTTTAATGACATTTTATTGGATTGAAATTGCATTAACATTGAGATTGGTTTCAACAGTAAGTACCCAGGAAGGCACTTTTGAAAGTGAAAACAAAATATTGAAATATTTAAAAAGTATTATAAATAAGACTGCCTCGTTGGCCCAGTGGTCGTAAGTGCGACTGCCGGGCAAGGGGTCTCGGGTTGGATTCCCGAGTCGGGCAAAGTATTACTGGGTTTTTTTTAAATATTCTCAGTAGTATCTCGGAGTCCGGAATTGTGCCCGGTATATGGCAATAGGCTCACCCCCTATGACATGGGACTCATAACATAAATAGTGAAAGTGGGTGTTACATTGTACAGTGGTATAATGTGCACCTTTGCCTACCCCTTCGGGGATAAAAGGCGTGATGTTATGTGTATGTGTAGTATAACTATTGTCTTCGGAATTATTATTATTAACTTACCAGCTGGAACTATTTGGAAGACACAGGGCCGTTTCTGCCGACCCACGGCGTTGGTGGCGCGGCAGAGCAAGGCACCGTAGTCTCGCTCGCTCGCTGCCCGGTACCGCAGCTCACTTGATGTTCCACCCGTAGAAACTGTTAAATGGTTTTTGTTAGAGAAAGAAATCGGGTACATCATCAGATTTTTATTAACACTTGGATACGAGAAAATCTTAGCAATTTCAAACTTTTATGCTTTTTAGGAGATTCACAAAATCTCTGACCAAAAGTTGGGTTTTATTTGCCATTCCTTTGGAGTCTCAGGTCTTTCTTTGTGGGTTTTGTGAACTGCTTACCATTAGGTGATCTGCCTGCTCCTTTTGCCGCCTTATCCCATTAACATACGTTTTGTGATCCGTCGATGTCGACTTACCATATCTCGCAGGAGACACTTGAAAGCTCTCGCCACTATTGTTGAACTGCCAATAGAATGTGACGTCAGCGGGGTCTGCGTTCACGGTACAGCGTACGCGCAATTGTTCGTCGAGGCGCGCACCAATCAGCAGCGGAGAAGGCTGGGCGCATACTGGGGCGTCTTTGAAAAGGAATGATATTATAATAATTATTCAGTTAAAGGAATGATGATGTCAAATTGCAAATTGTTGCTAAAATCACTTTAAATTGCTATTGTTTTCTTGTAAATCAAAACAGGGTTTGACTTTTATAAAATATACTGATAAGACATTTTGTATTCTCAGATTTAAAGAGGTAAATTATTAAACAGTGTTTAGAAAAATTTAGAAAAAATATTATATACCTAACCAATTTTACTACACATAAAAGCTAAACCATTAAGTTTCCACTAATAGGAACATTTGATTTTAACAGTTTTACTTACATTGCACCCTCAAATACACAGCTTGACTGCTAGACTCCCCCATTTGATTGGCTGCCCTACAAGTGTAGAGGCCGCCATCTCTCTTCGTTACCCTCTGAAGAACGAGGGACTTGGTGCTGATGAACACTCCCGAAGACATGTTCTGGCTCACTTGTATATCCTAGAAGGAAAAATGTAATAAGAAAGAGTGACATGAAGAAGTTAAAATGAACTGTATCCCACTACACAGAGACTTTAGTTTGAGAACTAGGGCCTCAATCAACACTCGTAATACGTAATACGCCCAATTCTTCGCCCATCCAAACTTCAAATCCCCTAAAAGGCTAGCAACGTACTTATAGCTCCGTATCATCAGATGATTCGTCTGCTTGCTTGAGACTTATTCCATAAAAATTACCATAATTATTCTCCAATTTTCAATACGAAAGAATCGGATTGGTCCAATCAAATACAAAGCTGACTCATAAAGAATACAACAGCATATCCAAACTACTACAACCTGAAACTGAAACCTTCAAAGCGACATCAAAAAACTAAAGCAACAATACACTGAACAGCCTCTCGACTTCCTTTAGATCATTTCAGTCGCCTAGGTGGTTGAAATGAAAAACTTTTCAGGGAACGTTTCAGCGAATCGCTACGTAAATACTTGAGCCTTCCTGAAAGGGTCCTCCACTTTGACCCACACACTTCAAGGGTTTGGTGGAGGAGCTCCGGTTCCTAAATTACCTTAATCGAGCTCCTCAACAGTTTTAAGGGCTTTCACTTTTTCTTTGCCGAATGGAATTTACTTACGATTTACTGTGTCGTATTAAGTAGATCAAGGTCACGTTTTAATGGAAACCCATGAGGTTTTACTGTACTTTTAATGATCCTTGCTGCTAGGGAATGAGTGTTCTACAAGTTGTACCTCAAGTCTCTTTGCAGGAACTCAAAATTTAATTGTGTCTTTTGTTGAATTATATTTTCAGAAGAAACTGTTCTTCTCAAAATTGTCTTTTTTATGGGACAAGCCCGCCACAACCTCCCAAAACCGCTGCAACTCCTGTAAGCCAGGATCTACAGTAGGTACAACCATGAAAACACCGGAACACTGAAGTCCGGCGCGTCCCAGGGACATGAGTAACTGTCTTGGTTCCCGCAACGAAAAATCAAAATGGTCTTCGCAATCACACACGCAATCTACATTTTGGAACTACAAATTTTTAACTGTGTTCTGCTACAACCGTCAGATCTAAAAGTCATTAGGCATATATTCAGCAGTGAATGTTTCATGGCTGAAGTTCCTTTTATTCAGAAATCCCTTCAGCAACATAGTAACTGAACCTAATCCTTTTTCAAAATAAAAAACAGGCTACTAAGGTCTTGAACCCAAAAACTCACTCACGTTATGATACCAGGAGATTCGATGCTCCTTAGGATTGGCCTTGATGTTACACTCGAAGTAGACGTCATCTCCTTCTTTTATGTCATTGGGGTTCAGGGTGCTGCCCAGAGACATCGTCAGAACTGGACGGTCTGTTGAAGAACAAATTGGTGTTAAATTATGGGTACAGGATTAGTTGACGTATACATATAAAATACACGATGAAATCAATTTCGTTTTCCTCCCGCGAACAATTTGCGGAGGAGGATTTTCGATGTATAAAGTAAAAAATATAAGATGACAATTTCTGTATGGTTTTAAAAGAATCATAGAAATACACACATGAAGACGTAAATTTGTAGGCGGTATTCGCAACGCACGTGCCACCCTACGAGAAATTTCATGGCGTAATGTTTTGACAATGTACTATGAGTTCGTATATGGGCTTTCGAAGTTTACTTTGACAAATGTAAGTGTTCTTTTTGTTTTTTTTTGTATTCAATAATCGGGGTGATGTTTTCTATTAAGAAAAAACCCTGTAAATAAATTAAAAAAAAAAAAAAATGGTACGCCACTTATTTTTGTTTTAAACATTTTATTACTTTAAAAAAAAATTGCCCCACATTAGGATTTTCTCCCGTGCGTTTACAAACATACAAGTTCACATACACAATGACACCCAGACCCGAAACAATATTTTGTGGATCACACAAAGTGTTGTTCCGTGCGGGAATCGAACCCGCGACACGTTGCACGGCAGCCGGTTGCCCAGCCACCGCACCAACCGTGCAGTCAGGTAAGTACAATTTTGTTACTCAACTTTGTAGGTAAAACGATTGTGTTACCGAGACAGAACCATCATCTTACTACGGGACGAAAATGAAATAGATTTCACGGCGTAGAATCCTAACTAATATTATAAATCAGAAAGTGAGTCTGTTTGTTTGTTCCGCTTTCACGTCGTAACTACTAATCCGATTGCTTTGAATTTTTGCAGACGTAAACTTAGAAGTCCGGATTAAATAATAGGGTACTTTATATCCCAGAAAAATTTGACATTCCCGAGGGAAAACAAAAGTATTAATATAAATGGCGCTGTGTGTATTGGTATATGTCACATAGGCTACTTTTTATCTTTTTCTGACGTGAGCGAAACCGCGGATAAAAGCTAGTAGTTTATAAAATAGGTAAATCTGAGCCTATAGAATCTAAAATTAAGACCCAAAATGGTTTGTTGTACCAAAGACAAATAGTCTCAATTTTATTTTTATTTTATAGATCCATTCCAGGAATAAAATGCTTAATACTATGCAGAATTTATTTAGTTCCAGAAAACCGCATTCGGGAAGTTCCCCAATGGAACAAAATGCGACATTTTAATTCCTCGGGTAACAAGAAGTCGTGCCGCCAAACTAATGACTTGATGAATCTATCCGAGCTTCATTGCGAAGTCGAGCAACTTTGTCCTAACGTATCGGTTTGAAAGTAACTCTACTAGTGGGTTTACAAAGTAGGTAATTAGTCAACAGTTTCTATAATCACATGTGTAGTTAGGCTTTTTTGTTTTATTTGTCGTTTTATACATTTTTGTTTAAAAAGTTTCATTTCGGTTATATTATTTACATTCATTTAACATATTGTGACTGAAAAATTGGGGCTTCATGTTAGTAAGGACGTTTGTATATTTCGATATTAATTTATTAGGTTTAAGTTTTAAACTAGTTAAAAAACTTAGTAGTTACATACTATTTAGTTTTGGTTAAAGGTAATTTTCTATTACTATACTGAACCTGAATTTTAAGTGTAGGAGAGCCATGCTTTGGCATGAATAGGCTGGCTCGACCGGAGTGATACCACGGCTTCACAGAAGCCCGACGTGAAACAATGCTTGCGTTGTGTTTTGACGTATGAGTGAGGTTATCGAAGGGCCCAATTAACTCTCCCCAATCTCCCTATTCCCCGAATCTTCAACAACCCTCAAATTCCTTATCCATAAAAGGCTGGTAACGCACTTGTCCTTTGGTGTTTCGAGTGTCCATGGTCGGCGCCGATTGCTTACCATCAGGTGATCCGTCTGCTCGTTTATCGGCTTATCCCATATAAAAACCATTTTTCTATCAAAACCTCAAATCTCATAAGGCAAATTAGACTTACTAAGTACCTACAGAATCTGTTAAATCCTGGACCATTAACAAAGCATCTTCACAAAAACACAAAATTCAATTTAAAATCTGTCTCTAACACGTTTTGAATAAACAATTCGTGATAGGAAGCGAGCCTGGCCTAATTACAGACATGTGGTATGTCATCCAATACTCTAAGTCTGTGTGTTGGTCCGTCCGTCCGACTGTTGCGGTGTCGCGGTCCATTGCCACAAAGTTCCGTAGTTTGCTTGTCGTCCTTGTCCTTTTTGAATGACCTTTCAACGATTTGAGGTTGACATCGAACTTTAAGTAGTACAGTTATGTGTTTTAAATGTGTGCAATGTCACTTACTTCTGCTTTTGGAGAATTGTGTTCTATTTTATATGAAAATACAGAACAGAATCCCAAATGCAACGGGTTGCCGGGGCTCCGGCTCGAAGAGCAGAACTAGGAACGGGGTGGATTTAGTCAGTAAGAGTCTGATATACTCCCTCTCGCCTAACCCAAGGTCATTGGAAAAGTGATTGGATGATTTCCCCTCTCAAAAAAACCTAATATTGTTTAGGTATTTTCTAGTCTAAATAACGCCTTTTTAAATACATGATTGGCCATAAATAGTGTTTGATAATTGCATTAAATCGATAAAATAATCGGAAAATTAACAATAAACGTAATAATTTTGACTAAACAAAAATCGTAATACAATCGTAATAATAAAATATTGGTCTTATTATAGATATACTAAGACCAATATTTTTTTTTTAGGTGGGAAAATCATCGAATGGCTGCTTCCGCCTGGGTGAGGCGGGAGGGAGTGTCAGACTCTTACTGATTAAAAATCACCCCATTCCTTCTCCTGCACGCCGAGCCGGAGCCCCGGTAACCGGTTCTCCGCGACAGTAAGACCAATATTATTATGTTCATGAAGTAGGTAAACTTGACTTTTAATTCTAAGCCAGACATTCTTCTCACTTTAAGAAGACCATAGCTATTACTAAGCAGAATTGTATGTATCTACTAGCGGACCCGACAGACGTTGTCTTGCATATCCACTTGAATGTATAAACAAAAATTCATTCAAATTAGTTTCAGCTGTTTAGGATAAATAACCTAAACATCGACTGCAGCGCCATCTGCCGGGCTGATTTGTGAATCTAAACCATTCCCAGATACCCTTGAACACACACAAAAAATTTCATCAAAATCGGTCCAGTCGTTTGGGAGAAGTTCAGTGACATATACACTCACAGAAGAATTATATATATAAAGATGTAGGGACTTACAAACAACAGTCATTCTGAAGGCGTCTTCCAGCGCCACCCTTAGCACCGGATTGTCAGCTCGACATCGGATCATGGCTCCATCATCTTCAGGTTGGGGCAACATCGTCAGCTTGCTGACAGTGGTCGTCTCATTCGTGAACTCGCTGTGCTGTGGGAAAATGGACCCTGTTAGTATAAATTTTGTTTTGGTTTTTGAATGACATTTTTTGTATTAGGATTGAATTTGGGTTTTTGTGGGATAGGAAGGGAAATAGGCAGATGGATCACCTGATGGTAAACAACCAGCGGGACAACTAGAAGGAAGTATTACTTTATGTGTACTATGTAAAGTGTGGGAAAGCCATGCTTCGGCACGAATGGGCCGGCTCGACCGGAGTGATACCACGGCCTCACTGAAAACCGCCGTGAAACAACGCTACGCTTGCGTCGTGTTTCGTGGTGTGAGTGAGGTTACCAGAGGCCCATTATCTCCCCCCCAACTCTACAATCTGCCCAATCCCTGAATTCCCAACAATCCTCAAATTCCCCATCCCCAAAAGGTCATAACGCACTTGTAACACCTCTGTTGTTCCAGGTATCCATGGGCGACACCGATTGCTTACCATCAGGGGACCCGGCTCTTTTACGGGCTAATCCCATAAAAAACTAGAAGAAAGAATTTTAAATTCCTTTAACTAAGCAAACGAAAACCAGTTTACATTATAATTTACCAAGAAAATATAACTGGAATAGGGAACGAAATTGTTTGCTTCTAGTATTGTTACCGCAATACACTCGAGGGGATGCAATGTATCTACGGTACAAACCTAATTGCGGCCATTCGAGAAAATCTGATGAAAATTCATTTTGTAGATACTATTATTTGCTTCCGCCTGCGGGTTTACATAGTTATTGTACAGTCGACCGATGTGAATATACGTATTCCAGTCAGTGTTTTTTTTTAAGGGGGGAAAATCATCGAATGTCTGCTCCCGCCTGGGTGAGGCGGGAGGGAGTGTCAGACTCTTACTGACTAAAAACCACCCCGTTCCTTCTCCTGCACGTCGAGCCCCGGTTACCCGTTAGGTTCTCCGCGACATTCCAGTCAGTGTAAGAGGTAGACGGAGAAAACGATGGGTAGATATACTGAGGGAAAGAGGTGGACTAGACTGGAGAAGAAAAGCTTGAGATAGAGACCACTGGAGGAAGCTGGGGTAGGCCTACGCCAAAGAGGGGACTTTCACAATAGATTAGTTGAATGTTTTAGGAATAATAATATAAAAATATATATTTTGTGTATTTGTATGCCAATAAATAAATAAATAAAAAATAATTGAGATTAAAAAATAAAGTAATATATACTAGATATACTAGAATTAGAATATTGTGAGCATTTTTTGTTGTAGAATAAAGTGTATTTTTTTATTTATTTGAATTTTCTTCCAGTCTGCTAACAGAGATAAGCTGGAGACACGAAATGGTGACTCCTAATTGAAGCACTCGGATCGTATACCAACAACTCGCATCTAATGGCCGTGCAGATGTATATTACTATTATTTTGTGAGAGGAGATTATTAGGATACACAAAAATATTGTCACTATTAAACAGTTCCTCACACGGCTGGCAGTATACTTGAGGTGGCCGTCAACTTATTAAGTCTAACTGCCGATAGTTGCATGAAAAAATATAATAATAAAAAATAATAATAATAACAACACAACAAAACTTTATAGCTAAGTTAAAGCTGATTTACCAAATAGACTAAAAGGTAGGTTTAGGCACAGGGTGACCACGACGTATTGGAAATGGATTAAATCCCAGGTCTCAATATAATAATTGAAGAGGATTCCTTTATAATCTAGCTAAACCTAAGGTTGACATGTGTAGACAAGTCATTCATCACATGAGCGTTAGATTCTGTTATGTATGTATGTATAGATGCAAAGGTAGAATGCGGGCTGCGCCCCGCTTCCCCGCTCCGCTATGAAGTTTAGATAAAATAAACCAGTGTGCAACTAACTAGCGAGTTTAATTGGCGTGCGCATCGTTCCCTTACAAGGAGATACTTAACACGTGGCGACGAGTGGACCCGCATTATTTTCACAAATATGTCTACCGGAACGACATACGGCGTGCTTTCTACATTTGATCACCTGTCTCAAGACTGGAATAGTTATAAGTTGCGATTGAATCAATGGTTTATCGCTAACGACATAACATCGGAAACGGACAAAGCGGCAATCAAACAAAGGGCGATTTTATTGACGTCATTATGTGAATCTACGTTTAAACTCGCAACGGACTTGGCGTTACCCAACAAGGTGGAAGAATTGGGTTACGAGGCTATAGTAAAACTCCTCGACGATCACTTCACACCAAAAAGGTTCGGGTTTGCAGAGAAATCAATTTTCTATGCAGCTACACAGCGACCAGGAGAAACGCACACTCAATGGGCGGCCAGGATCAGAGGATTAGCGACTCACTGTGCATTCAAGAACTTGGAAGAAGCCTTGCTAGATAAATTTATCATGGGCATGGTGGCAGGACGTGAGCGGGAAAAACTGTTCGTGCAAGACCAGCGGGAGCTGACACTTGCGAAGGCCATCGACTTGGCAGAGAGCGTGCGCTGTGCGCGCCAGGCTTCGGCGCAGCCAGCACCTGGCGTGTGCGCCGCCAGCGCACCGGGCCCCGACGTCGTCTTTAGCATTTCCAAGAAGGAAAAGTGTAACGTGTGTGGATTCACTAATCACAAGTCTGATCAGTGTCGGTTTAAAAACTATAAGTGTAAAAAGTGTAATAATAAAGGTCATTTACGTAAAATGTGTCCTAACGAAAGAAAAGTGAAATACGTGGGTGAAGGTACTGTGGATGACGGAGACGACGACGGTGAGTGTTTTTATAATATTCGTTGCGTAAAAGGAAAACCTATGACGGAGCGTGTAATGATCAGTGGTCTAGCTTTGGAGTTCGAAATTGATAGTGGTTCAGCGGTGAGCGTAATATCCAAAGATACCTACAACATTCATTTCAAGCGATTACCGTTATCAGCCACCAACAAAAAACTATTTAGCTACACGGGAGAAAACATCAAAACGATCGGAATAGTTTTATTACCCATATCTTATCTCGGGCGTACGCATACCCTCAACGTGTATATAGTGCACGCAAGCGGACCGCCGCTGTTAGGCCGCGATTTCATTCGGGCGTTCGACCTGGAGTTAGTGCCGGCGCGCGTACACGCCATGTTTGACTCAGAACAAACGGTACGCGAAGCTAATATGGATAAAAAACTTAGTAACATGTTCCCAAAAGTTTTTTCAGGTAACCTCGGAGCTTTCAACAAATATAAAATAGATTTACATTTAAAACCCGACGTTAAACCGATTTTTTTCAAAGCGAGGCCAGTACCTTACGCGTTAAAAGAAAAAATAGACAAGGAGCTCGACAGATTATTGTCATTAGGTATCTTACAGCCTGTTGAACACTCGGAGTACGCGTCGCCTGTTGTGCCGGTTTTAAAAAAGAACGGTAGCATCAGATTATGTGCCGATTACTCTGTTACAATCAATAAACAGTTGATAATAGATCAGTATCCTTTGCCGACGGTAAATGACTTGTTAGCCAAATTACACGGGGGCGTACAATTCAGTAAAATTGATTTATCTATGGCTTATAATCAGTTCATTTTGAATAAAGAATCTCAGAAGTTAACTTGCGTCAATACTCACCGCGGTCTTTTTAATTTCACTCGATTGGTATTTGGGTTGTCCAGCGCGCCTGCCATATTCCAGCGCGCAATGGAGTGTTTGCTCTCAGGTATCGATGGAATCATATTTCTACTTGACGATATTCTTATAACCGGAGAAAATAAAGACCAGCACATGCAGAGACTTATCACTGTTTTGCAACGCTTGGATGATGCCGAACTAACGGTGCAGATGAGTAAATGCGAATTTTTTAAAGATGAAATTTCATATCTCGGTCACGTCATAGATAAACATGGAGTTAGGAAGTCGCCCGATAAAGTTAAAGCTATATTACAAGCTCCTAAACCGACAAACGTGTCACAGTTGCAGTCGTTCCTAGGACTGACTAATTATTATAGGAACTTTGTACCGGACGCATCGTCCGTATTAAGTCCATTATATAATTTATTAAATAAAAATACGAAGTGGGAATGGACTCGCATTCACGATGACTCATTCAATCATATAAAAAACATATTAGCATCTGATAAAACATTAGCGCATTTTGATCCACAGGCAAAGTTAATATTAACAGTAGACGCGTCGCCGACAGGGTTAGGAGCTGTACTATCACAAGTGGGCGAAAACGGGTTAGAAAGGCCGATATCTTATGCTTCCCGGACGTTGTCGTCAGCAGAAAAAAATTACGCGCAAATCCAAAAGGAAGCGACAGCGATAATTTTTGGGGTAAGACGGTACCACCAGTATTTATATGGTCGGTCCCAGCCTTTCGTACTAAGGACAGACCATAAGCCCCTGTTAGCTATATTCGGGCCCCATAAAGGTATTCCCGAGGTATCGGCAAACCGCCTACAGAGATATGCTATATTTTTAGCTGCGTATAATTACACTATTGAATACATCAGTAGTAAGCACAACAGCGCGGATTATTTATCTCGAGCATACGGGGATGAGAACGTGACGCAGGCGCCGGACGAACTCGCAGAGTGCGAGGATCGCGCGGCGTACGTTAACTTCGTAATTGATGGGGACTTACCGATTACGTTGAGCGACTTGCGTAGTGAGACGGCTCGCGACACTCGGCTGACATCTGTCAAGCATTATATTTTAAACGGCTGGCCTAGGAAGATACATGACGCAGAGTTAAAACCATTTTTTAATTGTCGAACACAATTATCATACGAAAATGGTATCTTAATGCGCGGACATAAAGTCGTAATTCCATCGGTTTTTCAGGAAAGCATATGTAGGGAACTGCATAGTTCACATTTCGGTGTGGTAAAAATGAAAGCAGAAGCTCGCAAGCGGCTGTGGTTTCCCGGTGTGGACGCAGAGCTGGAACGCATAGCGGCGGCGTGCGGCGTGTGCAGTGCACTGCGGCCCGCCCCGCCGCACGCCCCACTCGCGCCCTGGCCGTTGCCGCCGCATCCTTTTTATCGGATTCACATAGATTTCTTGGG